AAATTCGAGAAATAACGAAAAATCTGCAATTCAAATTATAGGAAAAAGATTCTTGAAAATCGATTTCATTTAATTGACATACCTAATTTATCGAGTTATTGTTCGTGTGCATTAATCATACAGGTATACAGTGCAAAGCCGTTAATTATACACAATGGATTGCTATAGGTATATACTTGGTCTTTTTGCTATGATCGGGGTTGCTCAGTCCGCAGAGCATTAGACTCAGAACTAAGAGGTTTCGAGTTCGACATCCAGTCGGGTTACTCGCCTTTCAGCGAGTTGTACCACAAGTCGTACATGGCATATGGCGCTGTCGATTCTGCTTTGAAAATTAGGCACTCATGACATGAAAATTAAAGTCAGCGCCTTAATGTTAACATTATGACAAGAAGAGCGCCAGAAATAATGCTATCATGAAACTATAAGGAAAATTAATATTCTAACGATTAAAAATGGTGTTTCTCCTTTCTTTTCCACTACCTCATGAACCTTCTTAAGAGTTTGATTGGTAGTTGCTCAGACAACTGATTTGTGTATAACCGAAGGGATACAAGATATATCCGTTTTGATCAACCACTCGTTTGACTAACTGTAACAGTTGAATCCAACCTTTCTGTGCTGCATTTTAGCATTTGCGTTATGTAGATTATGCATTCTAGGAGCCTAATAAGTTGCCATGTTAGAATAGTCTGCAAATTCAACCGTATAACTCTATCATGGAAAATTACAGTAGAAACGAGAGTAGTAAGCGAATAGCTTTTCTCTGGCTTCTACAGCAAGCGTACAAGCTTATAATGGATTTTAAAACATTCTACTCTCTTCATCTTCATCACTCATAACCACTTCTCCTTTCGGTCTGCGGAGGCAGACGCGCTAGATCGTGCTTCCACCATTCTCGATCCTGTGCCAGAGTCTGAGCTTCGGCAGAAGACAGCTAGGGCTGGAGCAGATTCCTTCCATGTATTTGCATTCTGCTGATAGCAGCGAAATGATAAACTTAAATTACAGATAATTAAATTATAATTCCTCATTTCTTTTGCATAAGCACGCTTAGAAGAAAACACTTAGCGATAGAAGCCAGTGGAAACATTGATAATGGGGACCACTTCGATATACAAGTCAATTGGGCATAGGGCATGCTTCATCGTATTGTTTATTATTTATGCAGGAAGATAATCAGCTTAGCTGTTGTTCAGCGCTTATTTCTGTTGCTGAACTTTGTTGAATAAGCGTTAGAATTCAAATACGTGGAAAGCATTGAATTACAACGTAATGGCACCGTTATCCGAGCATTTCTGCTTCATGTTGATGCTTAGACTCGATTGTGAATTAAAGGGATTAAAGTCTGCATATTGCCTTTGTGCGACAGCTGAGTGGCAGCCATGGTTCTATGTTGAAGAAAGAGTCGAACATCACGGTAACTCACCGCACACTTGCTCACAACGTCGAGGAGTTTCGAAAAAGCGTACTTGCGCAGGATTACCATTGTGGTTGCTTGCTTCATCGCCAAATGCATAACAGCATGCTGAGAGTAACCGTTGTGCATCGCCATGGCGCAAACCACGCAGTCGCCGGAGTTGAATGGCTCGTAGTATGAATCTCTGAAAGTCGATATTTAGCGTTTGGAGTATATTTTGACAAATACAAAATTTAAGGACCATTTGAACCCTATGTCTACCTTCCTAAAATAACATACAAAGATCTGAGTGCAATTGAAATACAACAAAATCGTTACTGTCTAAATTATTGCATTGCATGCGCTTTTATCCCCATAATTTTGAAACATTCTAGATATTAGCATCGACGATGGGTGAATAAACTGAAGACTGCATTCACTCGAATCTCCAATTTTTTGCAGACCTATACTGTTTTGCCAAGAAAAATTTCCAATGCCCTTACAGATTATTCAGCTTTCATATTCTTAGATTCTGAAAACTCTCGGAAAAATTTTCATTCAAAATGCTAAGCATTTCTATTATATCAGTCAATCACTCCTATTTGTTTGGCTTGCGGAGGAAGATGCCTCAGACAGTGCCTACAAAGTTAACGATTTTGTGCGATCTTATGAGATTAAGCAAAAAATAATGCGAGTCTGGAGTTAAGTCCTTGGAAAAACTTGCCTCAGATTACTCTTTACCGTCCACGGCATCTACAATCAGTCGGTTCAGCTCTCTCTCTCACCTCCTTTTCTAAAGGCATCCGGCGGATGGCCCCAATCGTCGTAAACCTGACTCCCTGCAAGAGCAACGGCTGTGCACCATCACTCTCATGTACATTTGAATTTCGAGACGCGTCAGTCTAGTGATTCGACATAGATAAACTATTTCAGCTGCTTGCACCCGGTTTTGAAGTTCTTCAGGCATGGCCCCTGATTGACGGCTATAGATGAGCATGGGCGCTAGCCATACCAATTCGCCGGTCGATCTCTTCTCTCTGTCCCATCACTGGTAAAGACGACATCCAGGTAGTTGCACTCCTTGACTTGCCCGACTGCATTTCCATTTAGCTGCACCATGCGTGCACTAGGCCTTGGTTTTAAACCTGTTCATACCCATGCCTGTCACATCGCACTCCACTGCGAGCTTAACAAACGACGTTGGAGTTCAATGCCAGAAAAGGCCAATGAATGAAGGTTGCTTGCAAACAGTAGCTTGCTTGTCTCTACATCTCCTATGCTCATGCACTCGTCGGCTTCGCTGCGCCCTACTACCCTATCCATGTACAACACAAACATGAGAGCGGAGAGATAGCAACTTTGGCAGAGACTAGTGCCAACGTTGGAAGGCTTATGGTTAATGTCATTTACTCCGACGTTGCACCGGCTATCAACATTAGACGGCTCACAGCAACCGACCATTGATCCCATATGTTTGCAGACGCGGCCGCTGCCAGTTTCGAGGAATCTGATCATAAGCCTTCTCCACATCGACAAAGTGGAGAAAACCGGCTTCAGCGAACTGCCACCATGGCTCAAAAATCTGGCCTAACTGCAAGGTCTTTTCAGAGGTGTTTCAACCTGATCTAAAGACACGTTGATCTTCTTGTATCTTGGAATCATTTTGTCTGTGGCACCTTCTTTCCAACTACTTTGCAGAAACCTTTCACGAGAGGGTAATAAGATAATGCCCAGATAATTGGAGCACTCACTATGGTCTCCCTCCGTCAACGTCGGTACTATCACCTTAGTTCTCTACTCCACCAGGTTTTCATTCTTAGTCATTGTAATTTGAAGGATATGTGGTAGCCGCGACATGCTTTGTTCGCCTAAAACTTTAAGCATTTTTTGGCAAATTTCATCGACTCCAGCAGCCTTGCCTCAAGCCTTTTAAGCTGCTGCAACGTCGTCTGCTGAACAATTAAAATCCCTTGCTATCTACTTTTAATACGAGACCACCTGTGGTTCCTTGGTAATAAGAAATTCCTCAAAATCAGCTCTTCCTCGCTGAAGTATGCCTTCTTTCTTGATAAAAAAGGCTAGATTTGTTCTTCTGAACTTTCGGACTGCCCTTCTTTCCATCTCGGAGGCGTAGGATGGTCTGCCAAAACACCATGTCTTCCGTCTAGAAATTCGACTTCAGCAATTCACCAAAAGTTTCTTAGGAATCTGATTTCACTAGCGTCCTAAGCGCTTTTTTGGACTGCATTCGAGTTGAAGGCTCTTTGCTTCCGAAACATCTGCTGATTATAGTCTTCTTCTGCCTGACAGCCACTTGAAACTCTCGCGTTAATTATGAAGCTCGCTTCTGACTTTCATGCGGCAGACAAACCCATTTCAAACTACAGCATTCTTCAACAGCGTCGAGTAAGCAGCTCTAACGGACCTTTAGCTCTCTTTCTGCCGAAGCCGTCATCGCCGGGATCGATTCAAACCATCGTGCGACGTTGTGTGCAAGTTTTGTCCTCTTATCCGCGGAAGATAACGTTTTTCGTTTGATTCTCTGGTTGCTTTAGCTGCCACGTCTTCGCATGCCATTCCATCGTTTGCAGCGCAGGGTGTCAACAGCAAGGTGATAATCGGTTGATAGTTCTGTGCCTCTCTTAACGCGAACATCCACTGCAGAGTGTCGTAAACTGGATTGCACTATTACCAAATGGATCATCGCCTTCCGTACAACGTTCCATATACTAAATATACTTATACACGTTTCTATACTCGAAGAAGGTGTTCATGACAGACAGTCTGTGGTTGGCACAAAACCGCAACAACTTTCTGCCGTTATTGTCACGATCGCTAGGGCGGTTCTAACTAACAAGCACATCTTTCTGTCTGCCGATATGCACATTGAAATTGTCCATCTGACTGATGGATATCGTAGTCGGAACTTTGCACAATATACCTTCCATACCCTCCATTAAAGATTTATATTCTTCTTCCAAATTTTTTGCATGAATCTGTTACAAGGTCATAGTTTTTGATTGTTGTGGTTTCAGCCAGATCATTACCACTTTTCTGCTGGCAAGCTTCCATTCAATGATTCTGTAAGCCAAGTTAGATTCTATCGGAATATGAACACCGGCCTGACTGCGGGTCCCGGAGTAGACGAAAGTCCAATCGATTCCTTGAGGCTTCGCCAATTAGCTCCTGCTCTTTCCCTCTATTTTAGGAGGTGTTACATATTCCAACTGTAAGCTTCCATCTTCGGCATCTGACGCGCTGTAATGACCTCGCGCTGTCTGACTCCTCTGCTGAGAACGGGTAACAGTTCTGTTGCTGATTAGTATTTTCTTGCTCTTCTCGTCGGTCTTCGACAGCCGTCCTCTGCTGCTACCCTCTCCCCCCCCAGCTTCTGGAAGCCGTGAAATAGGTTCTGATCGCCGACAATTCGCAGTCTACCTCTGGTCCTGAACAGCCTCCGCGACCGTTGGTAACCCGGATGACACCCGAGCAAGTCATGATGTTCGATAACGGCAATGCCGAGTTATGCAGCAGGTGGCTAGCTTCAGAAGGAGACCTCACTGCTATCCTAAACCATCCTCCTTTCTCATCTATGCTTGTAGCCGGCAACGGCAGATTTTTCTGTCATGTGTCGAAGTAAAATTTTACCTATCTGCACAGAAATGGCATGATATGACGTTATCATCTTACGGCTGATCAAGAGCACTCGTTCAACAAATCTTCACTAACAACAAATGACATGGTCCAGTACAAAAGTTGATATCGATTATAAAATGCCCAACTTTTCTTCTGATCTCGGACAACATCCTCCAACCCCTGACTATTTTAGAACACTATGGGTTAAAGCAGATTCACCTATTAGGAATTGGATTGAAAACGAAAAATTCTAAAAAAATGAAGAATTCACCAAGAAATCAGGTTCTACCGGAGTTGATTAAAGGCAACAGAAGTAGTATAAAGTAAACGTCTATTCAAATTATCTGATAATCAAGTCATATTTGACGGATTTGTTTAAATTTCCGCTATTAAATATTGAACGAATATTTGAAATCATCTACTGGTTACTCACTTAAGGTATTTTATCACTCTTTTCACAACCCCTAAAAGATAATGTTTCATGAGTTATTTTCAAAAATTCGAGAGAGATTTGATAAAGACTTCGATCAGAGAGGGAAAGATTTTCAGATGAGGCACCTCAGTATTGACAAAAGTTTCGTAACTCAAAACATTACAGGCCATTCAATGCGATTTCATTTGCTCTAATATTCCACTTTCACGGAGTTACAATATGTATTTGACTCCTCTCCATCGAATGAACTACTTGAAAAGAAGCAAATTTACATGTCGCCTAAATTCATCGTGCCGATTCTGGAACAGATGTGCGGAACTACTGTGTGTTCCACTGAAATGAGAACTGAACACTTTCATTTAGTGCATATCAAATCGAAGACATTATGAATTTATACTGTCGATATATGCATTTCAAATACAAGCTTTCATCGCTTTTTGAACGTTGTCCTCCAAAAGAGCCATGATCTCAATAAAGAAAGCTTCGGATTACAGAAGACAGACAGAATTTCAAATATCTTGCTTGTTTGTGCCCTGCAAATTGTCCACCCCTTTCAGTGGCTAAAGGAAATGAATTTATAATTTATAATTCTGCACGAAATTCGCTTCTTTCTTATCCAAAACGAAACTTTATCCGGAGATAAGGCATAAGGAAGTGTCCCACAAGTCAGAGGTACAAATGCAACTGGAGGCGAGTTAATTTACAAAAATTATTCAACCGGTTTGAAAAGATTATTCACTCTTTTCAATAGATTCCATCCAAGTAAATTTAAGGACGAAATCTGATTCGAACGATTTTGGTAGCTTTCCATAATTTAAGTAGACAAATGAACATCCATTCTGATAAAGTGCATGTGTCAGTTATATCAGGTCGGTCGGCACTTTTCTCTGCTTATTCTAGCGCGAGGTACAGCGTATTGATTGAAAGCAAGCAACGCAGTAGTTTCACCTAATAATAAGCGTTAACTCATCTACGAAATGGAGTAACTTCTTTCCAATGGAACTAAAGAACACCGAAAGGAATTTTCTTCGGCTTGATGCATCCATGGTGTAATACAAACGCACTTCATTTGCAGTTCGCATCAAATCCATACTGTCGCAGGCGCAAACCAAAAGGTGGACTATCAACAGGTTGTATACTGTAATGGCTGCGGCTTCATTAAAAATTTTTTCTCTGAATGCAAATCTTTTCACACCTTGCTCGCATAACTTGCAAGGCTGTTTTCCTATTTAGTACCTGCATTAATATTGGTTTGCTTGATTTTAAAAAAAATGAAATTGGCCAAAATTATTGCAAAGCTTTTTTTTAAATTAACAAATAATTAATGGCATCTGTTTGCATAATTTTTCAATTAAAGAAAGATAAGGTCAGTGAAACAATAAATTAAAAGTATCTAAATTTGAAATACAAGTTTAGGCATGGCATGTACTTCAGTAGCTCAATTGTAGAAACCACTGAACGGTGACTTAATACCACCCCTTTTGGCATTCCCGTTGTTCCACTGGAATACGTGACGTTCGCAGGGTCTTCTAGGCTCATTTCAGGAAAGGTAATCGATTCTGTCTTTTGAAGCAATGCGTCAAATCTGAGCATACTAGGATTAGTCACTTCGGAGCAGTTGGTAATAAAGACGGTCTAAAATGCATGTCAGGTCACATACGCATCGAAATCCATACCAAATCAGCAAATGCTTTTGTCTTAAGCAGTTCCATGACGTTTGCAACTCTGTCATCATCTGTTATGTACATGACGGGTTTGCAGTCCTCTGCAGCTCGTAAAGTTTCATCTAAAGTGGCTTAAATCAAACATCGTCTAGTGGAAATCGTTGACAGAAGAAATTTTTCATTTATCGCTTAACCATTCTGCACAAGTAACATGACTTGGTAATGTATTGCATCGGATTTCATTATTAAGTTCAAATGTAACCACACTTCTACATGAAATGTACAAAATTAAAATAGGAGAACCTGCATGATATTTTGGGTAGGCTGACGTTTTCAACTTGAAATTTACAGTTTGCACACAGCGTTTGCCATCGATTAACTATTCCGTGGGTCACAGCGCATGGCAAACATTTAAAGAGTGCATATTCAATAAATTGTTAAGTTGTCGCCGCCGTTAGCGATTGCGTGGGGCTTTCGCTCCGCCTCGTGACACGGTTAGCGATGCCTGGTCGAAGAGAGGTGTATGTCCACAGATGCGAACAATTAACAACAGAAGATCTTATCTCAACGGATATTATTAATCTGGGTAATCGGTCTTTGACCCTCATACCTCAGTTGCTATGACAGCAACAACATCAGCATACTCTACACTATCCCTCAATGCTGACTGACCAAATATAACA